TAGGGTAGCCGCTTGCTAGCCCTTCCTCTGTTGTCTATTTCGTTACTGATATGTCTGCGCCACACCCCACTGTTGACGGCCTTGCAGTACAGGACTTGACCAACCTGGATGTCACCAAACTCACACCTCTATCTCCGGAGGTTATCTCACGTCAAGCTACTATCAACGTTGGTAAGTGCCTTCGCAACTGCTACTGATCTCAGGGCTTTCATCGGGGGTCTAGGTACCATTGGTCATGTCGCTCACGGCAAGTCTACGGTTGTTCGAGGTCTATCGGGAGTAGAGCATTCTTCTTATCATTCGCTGTGTTCACTGTCGTCTCATAGGTTATGACTATTCGATTCAAACAGGAGAAGGAGCGTAATATCACCATCAAGCTTGGATACGCCAACGCTAAGATATACAAGTGCCAGAATCCGGACTGTCCTAGCCCTGGTAGAGTTTTCTGAGGCCTTTCTAGGTCTCTGATCTACTCCTCTTCGTAGGTTGTTACACTTCCCATGGGTCTGCCTATCCTGATCGCTACACTGATGAGCACGGTGAATGGGTGGTCGTCCGTCACGTATCTTTCGTCGATTGCCCTGGTCATGATATCCTCATGGCTACCATGCTCAATGGCGCTGCAGTCATGGACGCCGCTATGCTACTTATTGCTGCCAACGAGAAGTGCCCTCAACCACAGGTTATATTGAACATTCCTGTCTGATAGCTGAGGTATTTTTCAACAGACCTCGGAGCATCTGGCTGCGGTCGAGATCATGCGACTGCGACACTTGATCATACTGCAAAACAAGGTGGAATTGGTTACCGAGGCTGAGGCTCAGCAGCAATACGCGGATATCCGGTATGCTCGAATGAGTGATATTAATGGGTTCCTTCGGACTCCAATTTTTCTCAGGAACTTCGTCAAGGGAACTGTGGCCGACTCTGCGCCAGTCGTACCGATTTCAGCCGTGCTTCGTTACAACTTGGACGTTGTAGCCGAGTATCTTTGCACCCAAGTATGTCTATTGGCATCTTCAGTGAGATCATGCTCTATGGCAAATTCAGATTCCTGTTCCCGTTCGCGATTTCACTTCCTCTCCCCAAATGATCATTATTCGATCGTTCGACGTTAACAAGCCTGGTAAGACCAACCGTGTTCTCCCCTCGTCTTGCTTGACGGTTCGTTCGCCTCATGACAAGATGCTGAGGAACTCATGGGAGCGTTGCTGGTGGCAGTATCCTCAACGGCGTTCTCAAGTAAATTCTGATCCGCCGGT